CTCCTTGCTCCACCAGGCTATCTATAAGATGGTGGGCACCGTGATCATGATGCGCATGAACCAGGATGGGCTCACACCCCAGCAGCGTGTGGACAAGATCTTTAAGAAGATGGACCAGGATAAGGATGACCAGATTACACTGGAGGAATTCAAAGAAGCAGCCAAGAGTGATCCATCTATTGTGTTGTTGCTGCAGTGTGACATGCAGAAGTAGAGGTTGGTGGGGGGCAGGGCCCCTGACCAGGAGGGGCACGGCCACCTCCCAACCTGATGTTCTCTCTGCTGGCCCATCCCCAGGGGGAGGGGCACTCCAGCCTCATTCTCTAGCCCACCCACTTCTCTGCCCAAGCCTTCCTCCTCTCGGTCAAGTTCCTTGAGGGGCCATCTCATCCTGCAAGAGAGACAGGTGTTCTCAAGTACCTTGTCCTCAGAGAGCCTGTCATCTAGCTCTGCCTCTAGCCTTGGCCCAGAACCAAAATCTTTTGGGCTTAGGGGAGTTGGCTTTTGCCTCAAAAAGCAGGGTTAAGGAGGGGGGAGCCGAGGACTTGCTTTGAACTCCTGTTCTTCCCAGGGTAATGCTTTATAGAATGTGGTCCCACAGGCCCCCAGTCAAAGGGCCAAAATTAGGTCTGTCCTTTCCAGATCCCCTAGAGGTGGTCTCTGTCCTGCCCACTCGACTCTACCTGGCCCCTCTGGCCCCAGCCTTTGGAGCGTTCATTGAGTCCTTTCTTCAGCTAATGTTTATTGAGCACTGTTCAAAGCCAGGCACCTTGAGGTGCTAAGAATATGGTTGTTTACAAAAACACATTTCATGCCCTTCGGAAGCTCACAGGGTAGCGGGGCAACTTCCAAGGGTCATGGTCTCAGACAGGGATGTGGAATGCAGGTAAGAGGAGGGTGCAGGGAGGCTGGCTAGTTTGGGGAACTAGTGCCTCCTCCAGCTGGCACCACTCAAAACTGCAGAAAGATGAAATGAAAAGCACGTGGAAGTTTAGGTGCCTCCTGAGTAGAAGTTTTAAGAAAAATAAAAATTTATGTAATATTTATTTTTTTAGTACCCTCTAAAAGAGCTAAAATCATTTTATTAGATTAGACTATTAAAATATACTCTATTACTTGGTTTCTTATAAAAATAATTTTAAATGAATATAGAAAATGCTAATTTTCAAGGGGGGAAAATGCTGAGATAGAAAGGGAAAATACCACCAGACTTAAGTAGAGAACCCTCTCTCTGGTCAGGCAGAGTCTGGGCTCTCAGCTTCAGCAGCTTTCGCTGTCTCTACTGTTTCCTTTTATTGCCCTTTCAATTCAACGAGTGACTATTGCACACTGGGGGGGAAAATGCTGAGATAGAAAGGGAAAATACCACCAGACTTAAGTAGAGAACCCTCTCTCTGGTCAGGCAGAGTCTGGGCTCTCAGCTTCAGCAGCTTTCGCTGTCTCTACTGTTTCCTTTTATTGCCCTTTCAATTCAACGAGTGACTATTGCACACTTACTTTGGATGCTGTCTTCAGAGACAGGAGCAAGGTTTGCTAAGATTAAGACAAGTCCATATCCCATATCTTGGTGGGTTGTTTCTGAGATTGTTTCCGTTTCAGGGATCATGATGCTTGTACTTCCACGGCCACAGATTCAGAAGGAGCTAGAAGAAAAGGACCACCCGGCCACTGTTTAGGTTCTCAAGCTACATTTATGGACCAAATGCCTAAAAATGTGCTGGGCTTATTTGAAAGACCTTTTCTAATCCCCAGTTCTAGATCTGCCAGGTAATTAATTCATCATCTTCTGAGCTCACCAGTTTTGCTTTCTGATTTTTGGATCTATGTGCTAGCTATTCTCTTGCATGCTTTGACTACCAGAAGGAAAAAAAAAAAAATCCATCTTGCTTCTTCAAGTTCTTTGCTTAACTTGCTCCTGTGCTTGTGATCAGAAATTAGCTTTGATGTATAGTGACAGTTGACTTTCTCTTGAACTGCTGGTGAAAACAGTCTAGTACAGAGATGCTGCCAGCCCGAGTGGGAGCAGAGCATGATTGTGAAGCCTGGGCATGTAATGGTGGCGATTGCATTTCAGGAAAGAAATGCTGTTTGCCCCTCACTTTTGAGTGTTCATCCATTCTGCCTCCTTGCGGGTAGAAACTCTTGGAGATTCTGACCTGTGTTCCCCAGCTCTATAATAGACCTTCCTTCTTGTGGCCTTTGGAGGTAGCAAGGCCATCAGGTTGCCACCTTCTTTCTGTCCTGCCTATCCAAGCCACATGGTGAGGCTGAGGAATTTATAGCCACAAGTGATAACTAGCAAGTATTTACCCAGTAATGCCTCATAGGGATGTTTCACAGCTCTCCAAAGCTGGCTGTTAGGTATGTCTTCTGCTATCAGTTAGCACCACAGATACATAAATACTCAGCAGCCTGGCTCAGCTGGGACCTGAATTTTCTACTGGAAGGCTTTTCACAAAGTGGGGTTCCTTCCCCACAATGACACAGAATTC